ACATCTTTGCAAAATAATGGCGTATGAATTATAGGAATTGGGATGACGCCACGAAGCGGTCATTTTAGGGAGTTAATAAATAATAATTTTTCAGCGGTTTCTTCGGCCGCTTCTATTAGCTATTTTTTTAACCCATAGTTCTAGGTTCAATGGTTGTCGAGATACAACCGGTATCCGTTATTATTGGCCCACCCGGATCAATCTATTGAAGACTCACGGTCTGCCTCATCTTGAAACTTCACTAAGTACCGTTTCGGTCGTAAGGAGCTTGTCTATTAAGTACTTGGAACATCCCAATAACAACCAAAGCTAGATATTTCATTTTCACTACTATGGAGCTCGATCGCGAATGGTAGCGTTCAAGTATTACGTAAGCACTAAAGAGAGGCGATGGTCTTTACTTTGCTTATCTTTCCACGAAATGGTTTGTGGAAGGTCGGTTGGGATGTAGTTTACTTCAGCAATATTTATTTTCGAACTTTTTTAGATTCTCTACAATATTTGGTCGATTTTGATTTGAGCACTAATAACGGCACTGCCTGTCTTTGCTCGGAAGCGAAATATATCTTCCGGAATTCCCCATATATGGAGATGCTTACTCGTTTAGAACCGAGTAGAAGGACTGAGTAGGGGAGTTATTTGCTTAAATAAGTACTACGTGCCTTAGACTCCTCTGTCCTAAGGTTATTCCTTATTTCTAGACTTGAAACTGCTGTTGAGGAATTAATAATGAAACAAGAACAGACTGAAAAGTGCATGTGCCAATGTATACGTAAGCATGGGGGGGGAGGGGTAAGAGATTTGATTACTGCTGCTGACAAGGCGATGGGAGGGGGTTAGTAATTTTAAAAAATATGCTTACGTAATACATGAACTGCCTAATCTGTCTAGAAATAGGAAAGTTTGGAATGAGGTACGAGATATCGCGCCAATTAATCGCCTAGAAACAGTTTCTGATACAACGATATCTGCTAAAATGCACCAGAAGTTAGACAGAAATCTGAAGAAGCAAGCGTTCACGAAGGATTTCCCCGATTGACGACAAAAACATAGATTTTTATTACCTTTTCGACGTACAGTCTACGAAAACAGAAAGTTCGTTAATTCTGGTAAGGTTAGAAATCGTTTAAAAATAAACTAATTTCAAAATTCTCTTTGGAGTCATGTAACGCAAGGTTTAAGCTTTAATATATGCTATATACTCAAAAATTACAATTTTCAACCGAGTTTTTAAGCACTGAATATACCCATTTTTAGGGGTATCAATCATTAAATCGCTTACAACTAGAAAACAGTAAACTTTACAGAAACTTTCAGTATTAAATCAACTCGACAACCGTTTCAGGTCTATTCACCCACCTATTCTGTTTCAATTATCGCTTCTGAGGTATTTCTTCATATTTCTCGTATAATTTATATTTTTATTGATTTCCGCTCCCAAAAACTCAATTAGGGGACTGTCGGGCATTGTGAAAAATTGGCGCCACTTGTCCGGGAGCGCAGCATATCGAAGCTAAAATTGCCAGAAGTTGTTCGGGTTTTCTCATTGCCTCACTAAACTGTATTGAATACGATTAAATGCGTTTTAGCAAATACTATGTTCAAATAAAATTATAAGCAATATATTCTACCGAGACACTGCGACTGCTATGAGGAGCTCAAATAGACCTTGTAAATCCGATGTATGAATTGCAAGAGATAAGCTTCACTGGGAAAAACCAGCTCAGACAGATAGTTCCACAGTCTAGAACAAACGAGCGGTCCCATTGGCTAGTTCTGTATGTACGAAATTCAATAAAGTCAGGATGGAAACTAGCAGCCTGGTGGCTCCATCTGGCAGGATTGGCTCGTGGCGTTAAGATTTTGTGATGAAGAAGACAACACGCCAGTTTCGACGAATATACCTATTGTGGCCGGAGAGAAAGTTAGCCACCCACCTGCAAAGCTTCTGTGGGAGGACATAGGATGAAAGTCTGCATAAGAGGGAAGCAGTTCACAGCTACTCTAAATAGATACATAGACAATTTATTTTCCAGAATTCATACACATGTCAAAAACGACATGTTCAGAAGTTGAGTTAGATTATCTGGGAATAAATAAAATTCTCCCGCAGAAGGGGGTAAAAGATCTATAATTTACTACAATAAGAACTTAAAAAACTAAACTTTCACAAAAACAGAACATAAAGTTACAGAGTTATAATGAATTGCGGAGTTTAACTAAAATAGAAAACTAAATTAAAAAGTTCTGTTTAAGACTGTATTGGAACATTTTGAATTTCATATTACGTGATTATCTCTTGATAACAATATGAGCTCCACCCTATGACTAGATAAGTTTGCTCCACAGCCGTGATACTTGTATATTCCAGAAGTCCGCGATTTGTGTACTTCTCCATCACCTTGCTGATCACAGGAAATGGCTATAGTAGTTGTAAGGGTGGGAGCTAGATCATTTTTTTGGATGGGCTGAGTATGAGCATGAGCTGAAACTATTTGTAGTTCTAATAGCTTTTAAGAGTCATATTGTGCCGATAAACCTAGTTTGGTAACAGCTAGCTGAAAAACTGTGGAAGGAAAACGTAGTCATTCTGTCTTTTTAGATATGCAATATTTTGAGTTTTAAACAGTGATCACCTCCCAAATAATTTCCTTTGACGACGTTCACATTTCCAAAAATGCTTAACGTAGGACAATGCTTTTCTTCACAATATGGATTTTCTAATAGTGATTACGTGAAGAGTTGTGAGGATATAATACACAGAGCAACACTCTCAAACTAGCACAGACAAATTTCAGGAGATCTTATTCTGCCCAAAAACATCAGTGATTTTCTGAAATCAACGATGAAATTCTATATCAACAATTCCCAAATAAAATTCACCAAATGTGTGAAGAATCTTGGTGTATTGTTTGATGAACAGTTGAGATTTCAAGAACGCATCATTAACATCGTTATAAATTTTATTATATGCAAATATATGGGGTTGTCCAAAACGGACGCAGGAAAGTAAACGCATATTAAAACAAGAAAGATTGATATTCAAATCAAGTTGGGTACTTTATTTTGAAGGTTCATTTATACCATTTATGTATGAAAAATAATATCGCTCAAATGTTCACCACGACTGGATTTACAGACGTCCACGCGATGGTCGAAATTTTCAATGACATTTTGCAACATGGTCGGTTCTATGGCATTTATCTCAGCAATGATGTTGTTCTTGAGTTCTTGGAGGGTGGCTGGTTTGTTGACGTAGACTTTGCTTTTCAAGTATCCCCATAAAAAGAAGTCCAAGGGAATCAAATCGCACGATCTTGGTGGCGAAATCACGCGATCAACGAAGAAGGACTGCAATCGATGGATATTGACGTTGGTTGTGTGGCAAGTTGCACCGTCTTGTTGGAAATAAACATCGTCCATATCCATTCCTTCAAGTTGCGGCAAAAAATAGTCCTCTATCATCACGTGCTATCGCTCAGAATTGACGGTAACGGCGTTCCCGGCCGCATTTTCGAAAAAGTAAGGTCCGATGATGCCTTTTGACCACAATGCACACCACACAGTCACTTTTTGAGGATGCATCTGCTGCTCTTGATACTCACGGGGATTTTCGTTCGCCCAGATGCGGCAGTTTTGCTTGTTTACCGTCCCATTCAAAGTGAAATGCGCTTCGTCGATGAACATGATTTTTTATGAAAAATTGGCATCAATTTGGCGGTGTTCAAGGAGCCAATCTGAGAACGTTCGGCGGGAAAAATGGTCGGCCCGACGCAGCTCTTGCGTCAATTGGATCTTGTAGACGTGTACATTCAAATCCTTGTGGAGAATGCGGAGCAAACTGGTTCTCGAAATGTCCAATTCTTGGGATCGACGCGTTGTTGATTGTTTCGGATCGTCTCTCACACTCTCCTTCACAACACCAATATTTTCCGGTGTGCGTACGCTCCTTGGCCGGCCAGAGCCTGGCAGATTTGCCACAGAACCTGTTGCCTCGAATTTACGCACCAGACGACCGATGGTTGTTTCGTTTGGGCGGTTGTTGCGATTTTTACACCATTTTTGTAGTGCTCTTGAATAACTTTAATGCGGTCTTCAATCGAATATGACTCCATAGCGATCAATGGTAAACATTCAACTAACAAAATGACATGTCGGTGACAGAAAACAAAGATGGCGTCTATGTCAAATTGACGTTTACTTTCCTGCGTCCCTATTGGACTATATAATGGCAAAGTTTATAAAAAAATTCAATGTGAAAGAAAAGTGATTTCGAAAATTCTGTATTGTCTATCATTATGCTATCCTTGTTTAGATTAAAACACTGCCAAACACTTGCACAAAGTCAAAAATTACTGTAGTCGCTTTATGAAGGATTTAACCAGATATGATTATGCCTCACAATACTTCAATAATATGCGATGGTTGAACATTAACAATTTATTTAAATATTAATTACTCACGACAGCACATAAAATAAAATTGACTGGAAAGTCTTTTTAGAAAATGCTCATAAGTCGGCAAGATATAATTCACCCTAACAGAATCTTACGGGTTTCACATTTGTTCATCATGCAACATAAACAGCATTCACTAGGTCTTTCACATTTGCCAAACCGATTTAAAGACATGTCACTAACTAAATTTAAATGCAAATAAAAATATCATCTTCTGCACACATATGAGTAGTATAGCTATATCTGTTTTCTCAATGTTTTTATTGTTATTGAATTCACTTTTCACTAATCTCAATTCGTAGTGACTGTCACTATTTGAGAGTTAAGTGGAAGAATGGCAGTGGCTAAGTTCCTCTCACTTGAAACTTATTAGTAGTTATAGGTAAATGCGTTTATTATTACATAAGTTGATACTAAGATCTTATATTGGTGGAATGCACAAAGTCAGTATTCTGAAGTCAAGAATCGGAAATTGAATAAATAAATTCGGGATGCTGATAGATTTATTATTCAGAATCAATAACAGTAACAATGTATGCCAACCTACTTTCTCTTGCAAGAACAGTCTCCTTTGTTGCAGGCCTTCTTAGCGCAGTTCTGAAGAGAGCAGAACCTGCCGCACTCCTTATCACACATCGAACTGCTGCCGTAAGGATGTTTCAGGTCTGGACATTCTGTAGCTTCGACTTCCATCAGCTGCAAAGATGCTACCACCACTATGAGGGCTACTAGGAAGAACTTAGTTGATGCCATTTTTAGAAATGTTCACTTTTTGAAAGCTGTCTGTGATCTGATTTGGTTGGGCTGGTTGCAGCTATTTATACGCTTATTCCTTTTGAATATTGATGCAGCTTATATGAATATCTTGGTTTTGCTTTTATTATTTATATGGCTGATATGTACTTCCAAGTAATATTGGATATGTGTTTTCGTGTTGAATATTCATCACTGCATCAGGTACACAAACGATCAATATTCATATTACCGCGCAAGTGGAAACAAATGCTAAATAATAGATTAGTATGCACGTTGTTTCATCAATAAAATGTAATAAGTAATTTATAGAACGAGCGGTACGTTTATAAAGTACAAAGCTTCATGTATATTCCACATGATGTGGTCTAACTAAGACATATATAGATATTATTGATAGACAGTCAACGTGGCCAACATTAATTTTTGAAAGCCCAAGATATTTTTGAAATGCATCTAAATCGAATATTGTATATTTATCGTCTTACAACTACTAAATGGTATAATTTATTTTGATGTTTCTCGAATACCTCTTTCTTTTAAAATACCAGTAGTTGTGAGCTTTGACTCAACTGAAACTAACAAAACGACGTTATACAGGGTATTTCAGAAAAACCTCAAATATCCCGTTGTAAATTTTTACACCACTGCTAAGACTCAATAAAAACAAAACATGAAAACTGCTATGATGAGGTAGGGCTGCTTTTTTATTACACTACATAGAATTTCGAACGTCAAACATCGCTTATTTCAGTGTACCTTCTTTGAATAGAAAGGGTTGTAGTTTTTTATACGCATTTCACCCGAAGAATTCAGTTTGTCTCCAAAAATTTTCCAAGAGACGCGATTAGTGTGAAATTAAATTAAATGCTTTCTTCAAAAAAGCAATAGCTGTTACAATAAAGTCAGTATAGTAAAAAATATATTTTTTTCTGTCCGTACAGGAGAAATAGAGATTCTTACCTCCATGTCAGTACTATATGTACGATATTTTAAGTCAATACCTCAATCCTCTCTGGAGATATACTTAAGTAATACAAATATTTATATGAGCTGTTCCTGATAATCTTTGATTTAATTTGTGCACTATGAATATCGTACCTTTTTATCAAACAACTTGTATACTCGAAACTACATTGCATTTCTTCTAGATGGTTCGCAAAGTCTCTCACAGAAAACTACATTTTGTATTACATGGTGTATATATATAAACATTCTAATATTAGATACCTATCAAACACAGATGCAAAGCCTATATCAATAGCCTTCTAGTTTTACTGACCTGTTTAACATATCGATCGTGGCTATATTGCGTATAATTGGTATTACAATGGACAAAGTTAGGGCGCAATATTTGATTGGCATGATATTCAGTTGGTTAACAAACCATGATAGAATGCTCTTATCGATGAATATAAGCAAGAATTCCCTCCAATTATACACCTGCTTCCTTGAAAAAAACATTTTGAGGCTTTAGCTTGAAGTATAGAAGATATTTCCAATCGAAAAAAAAAATTTATTTCACTCTATTGACAACTATAAATAGAAGCTTTTTTTTTAAATGGAACAAACAAAATCTGATAATTTCAAGGCCTACCTAAGCAGAGGTTTTTCTGGAATAACTAAGATTTGGCAATGTCAATGAATGACCAGTTATACATTTTTGGAATCAGTATTGAAAACTCGATTCACTTGTGAAAAAATCCAATATGGAGTCCGTAATAAAAATACAGTTAATGCTGGAGGACCAGAGACGAAACGTCATCTTAAAATTTTTGTAGAAAAGAAAAAGTGGCAATCTCAATGTGCAATTTATTTTGAAATCCCACTACAAATAAAAGTTAAATAATTTTGGGAAAATTCGAGTCTCTACTTTGGATTTCGCAACTTTCTAAGCGGCATTTTGTTGATTACCCAGATACGCAAATTTGCTCCAATTTAAGAGACTTCGTATCTCTTACAGTTTCCGAGATCTATGGTGAGGGTCAAATTTGGAATACCCTGTATAAACCATCTCGCCAGCTTGTAAGCCCACAAAACATGCGAGCGTAAGGTGGGCTGAAGCAGTTTAGGTAGCGCTCGACTTGAAAGTAACTAGTGCGATCTGTGGCGATCAGATCGCCATCGTACTTAGTTTCATCTCTGGAGCAAATGCTACATCATATCAGAGTCAAGCTCAAGCATTTTGACATTTATAGTTTGTTCGTACAGCCTGTTCGCTGACAATCAGCAAATTGATAGTCGGCGACAAGTCATGACCTAGTTTATTCAGTCAACTGTCACTGACACATCACTGACTGTATAGATTGCGTAGAAGAGAAAGTTACGAGTTGGCTGAGGGGGCTTTGACCGATTACCGACAACTGATCCACTGATCGTACAGAAAGTTCTGACTGTTTGATGACTGTCAAATTAGTCAGCAGATTATTGTCCAGTAAATTGTCAGAGCCCGAAATCAAGCACAATCATTGTTCGAATGTAAAATTTTTCTACAAAACTACAATTACCAAGATCTGCTCACATAGCTATAAGTTTCACAGAGTCCCAACGTGCATAAGAAGAAATGAGACTACGAAAATACAAAAACTCATCAGAGAAAAATAATGTCGCGTTTTTACAATTGAGACATACTACAAGCAGGAATATGGGTAAATATAAATATCTTAGATGGCAAAGTTGATCAACACGACAATTAGCAACACAGGTAGGAACAAACTAATCGCATATTTCCGCATTTTGTAACTGCAATCAAAATTTTGTAATAATTAGTGTTCACTAAAAATATATACGAAAAAAATAGAATTAATTATTATGGTTCTAGAAAGTTTTGTCTTCTAATGTTCTAATCTAGGGATTGTATTTCTACCTTTACACAATAAACAAAATATTGAGCACGAATCACTTTGATAGCTTAAACTGATTTGAGATTGCATCAAATATGAATACATATATCTTGCAACGCGTATTGAAAACAGATAATTCTATATTAGACCTTATAGTCATATAAAAAACTTGATATGGGTACAAATTATAGCCGAATATGCCGATGTATAATTGACTTCACAGCGCAACAATACAGTTCCTTTTTTGACTGCCATCACTATTCTCTGACACATCACTTAGCTCTGATGGAAAATTTTTGAGGTGTTATCATCATCATCTTCAGTGTGCTCCGCTGCAAAATTATCACCATCGTATGAAATGCACTGTCTATCTGATGCTCCCTAACGTGGTAGAGTTAGCTACATTTTTTGCTGCAAACGGACATTGCAGTGCTCTACTAGAATGCGATGTGAAGAATGTTTTCTGATATAGTTTAGTTATCTGGATGATAACTGGCCAAGATCTTGAAATGGAATTAAGAGTAGAGTAACAAGGAGTATGCGAGTATGTGATCGGTACCGCAATTCTGCTCCAGCCTTTGAAAAACTGGTGACGTACAGAGCCCGGATAACCATTGAACATACTGATAATCTTGGTCGCATATAAGTTGTGTCTGGAATGAAAATAGTCATATCATGGAAATAGACACGTATTTTCGAGATGTATGAAAACTAGAGTACGGAAGGAATAATTACATACGATCGAAGCTAAATACAACAGTCATTTTAAGCTAATTCTGGGTAAACTGTATACAGGGTGTTTCAGTTTATTGTTGCATAACTTTAAGATTCGATAGAACTTTTAAAATTAATGCATAAAGTCTATATAAACATGGGTCGAAAAATGCGTGGCTTCCGAAATACAGGGTGTTCAAATTTACTTTTTAAAATAGTTTTTTTAAATATTTCGTACAATATTCGATGTATAACAGTCAAAATCGGTATACAAGGGTTTTTTGGAACTACAAAACGAACCATGGGCCTAGTTTTACTGTAGCCACTAGAGGGCGCTCTCTACTGTACCTGTAGTGTATTAAAATGACCAAACATTTTTTCTTAGTGCAATTTTTTGCTTTTTGAATAAAAAAACTGATCCTTCGTACTTTTCTGCATAAAAAAGCTCTCTTGGGAGTTTTCGTTATAGTTAGCCGTTTTTGAGATATTTCGATTTTTAAGGTTCGATGCATTTTTAATTATTTATGATAAAATAACGTCAAAAAGTCAGTATCTCGACAATTTTTAGAAGTAGGCTGTGCCTGCAAATATTTTTGAAATTGAAAGCAGAATAAGGTTAAACGTCAATTAGTTGACGGTTAGTTTTGTTGTCTGTTGAAACCTGAAACGTTTTTTTGCAATTGTGAATGCACGAAATTTAGTTTCTATAACCTGTTTTTTTTGTAAGTTTTATAAAAATGCCATTTTTATTCTCCAATCAATATTAATTTTGTTTATGGCTTTGTAAATGGAAACGCAGCAGAAGCAGCCAGAGAATACGCACGAAGATTTCCAAACAGACGACATCCAACTCGCTCAGTATTTGTAAGAGTACATCGCCAAATAATTGAAAATGGTTTTGGAAATCTCCAAAGGGATCAAAACATAAATGTTCGTCAGCGCAGATTTACCCGTATGATTCTACGTGAGTTTGATAGAGATCTGACCACAAGTGTTAGGAGAATTTCTGGTGCCTTGGGAATTTCAGGAAGCCATGTTCACCGTGTTCTTAGAAATGACCGTAGACGTCCTTACCATCTGCAACCTGTGCAAGGACTACAGCCAGGGGATGGAGAACGAATAATCACATTTTGTCAGTGGATTCTTGATAGAACTGATAATAATAGGGAGTTGTTAAGTAACGTTTTATGGACCGATGAGTCATGCTTCACTAGACGTGGAGTGGTAAATTTTCATAATCAACATATTTGGTCGCATGAAAATCCGCATGCAGATCGGGAAAGAAATTTTCAGCATGAATTTAGTGTGAACGTGTGGATTCGTATCTACCGTAATCGACTATTTGGACCCTATCTTTTGCCTTCAAGGTTAAATGCTACGACCGTCTTGGAATTTTTAAGTTCTGAAACACCCTGTATATTCAGAAATTAGTAACTTTACTTGATGCATCGGTACATTCCCATAATTAGACCAACCTGTATAGAGTAGCATCATTTTCTATTAGTATATGATTACGGAGCATCCTCTGTTTTTTTTCAATATTTATATGGGCTTCGTCAATGATGCCAATGATTCCAGGAAATCTATATCTTATTGTACAAATACCGCTTAGTCCTATATCTTTCTTCTTCTATTGACCATTTTATGATTTCTGGTGCCTGACTACTCAGAAATTTGGCAGTCTGGATAAAACTGCTTGCATGGCACTGACGAAAACATTGAACCTATCAACTACATCCCTGAAGCTGTTTGATACCCATCAAACCATAAAAATATACAGGTTTCTTTATACGGAGTTAGCTTTCCATATGGCGCTGCCTGATATTTAAAATCATTACCACGACGGAATTTCACTGAAATTTTTTCTGTGACTGTATTGCTCACTCGAAAAGGTTACAAAAACTCGTTGCTGTTGAAATTGTGGCACTAATTCCTCCGATAAATTCAGTTTTTTTGGTTTCATTCTCGGAGTATTCGCTGCTTGATTTATCGCTCATAGTTTTTTCACTCCGAAGCAGCCGCGCAAGCAAAGCCTAAACGCCAGGGCCTATGATGAGCTTAAAGTAACTTTGTTAATTGATGTTTAAACTGCCTAATGTTAATAGAACTTGGAAAAGCCGCAGCATCCCCCTCACAATCTCGATACACTATCAGTCAGGCGGGTCTATCTGGCAGGCACATCGCGCGGCGGCATCATCGAGGAGAGCTCCGAGGGGCAAATCTTAGCGGTAGAAGAGTGCTAGATCGCCGACGGCCCACCGGTGCGAAAGTGTCCCCATCCTTTTGAGACGCAGTATCAGTCCTCAAGATACTTTCGACACACTCTGACACCTGTCACTGTCACTGATTGACCCGCATTCTCTGACCTGTCAGAAGACTATGTACGAATAGCGGACTAGCTGTCGGCAAACTGTCAGAAACTGTACGAACAGATAACATCTCTCTGATTCTGATTTTGACAATCACCGACAAGCTACCAACTACTGTACGAACAAACCATTAGGATGCACATACAGGGGTGCATTTGTAAATCACTTGGTGATGTGATACCGTGCAGAGTAATGAAATGTAGATTGGTACACGAAACTGTGAAACATTATTTTTAGGATACCTAAGTTATTACCGTGTCATGTAATGACACTTGATGACAGCTCACTAATTTCTAGCCATTTCTGCGAGCACTGTATTTAGTGTAAAAAATGATATGGATACGAGATAGCCCATTTATCATGAGCATTATATATTCTGCCAATTTTGACTACTTTTTGCTAACCGGGTAAGTTAAACAAATAGTGGACCATGAGAATGACAATTGACAACACTCTTATTACCAAAGCCTTGAGCACGGGAAGAAAAGCGCACATTTGGCATTCCAGAAGGATGACTTTGTCCTATTTCGGAAACGTCAAGCAATTTACGAATGCAGCGCAGGTAGTGACTGACAGCTAGTTCCAAACTGACAGATAAGGCGATCAGACTTTCGTTATCTCTGTCATTTTGCCGTTGCACAATAAGGGGGCGGGTGTGGCTATTATGGTACGAGAAACTCGAAAGAAGTTCTGTAGCTGCTAACGTTAGGAGAAGCTGACATAAGATAACAAGGAAAACACCATCACATTGAGTTATCTGCATTTTTCCCATAAAACAGACAAAGCCATCGTTGTTTTTGTGTCCGCTCCGGAAGTCGCAATCCGGACCGCGGGTTACGGAACTCGCAGGCTGGTAAAAAAGAAATGCTCGAAGCGCTGGCACAATGAAACGCAAATAAAAAAGTGCCAGTGCCGGAAAGATAAACAATGCCCGCCAAAGGAGCGAGCAGTGAATCTAGAGCTCTAAATAAATACTTTACATTTTTCAAGCTGGTTAATTGGGACAGGCTTAAGAGGGCTTAGGGATACGTGTTTTGCGACGGACAAGAAAAAGTGGCAGAGGGTCTTGTAAATGAGCAGCAGTGCTTAATGAAGATGACGTAAATATACGAATTTTATGAACGGGTTGACGCCCTACTCCATCGTTAGCCAACTGTTGTCGGACAAACAAAAGCTTTATTGCTAGTACTGTAACGGCAACTTAGGAGCTAGCAGCCGTGACACTCATTATCATTTAATTCATTTATTAAATTGTAAAAAAATGAAAATTGGTCTTAGATATCTCAGAGCTTGGAATTTCAGTACGATCTTACTTGTGGGTATATCAAGCAACCAAACAAGCTGCCCTCTTACAAACCATGCACCAGTTATATATTACTGAAGATATGTTTGTCTGCTTTTAAAATAAATTGATGGCAGATTGGTAAAAACTATGGTCCGGAATTCAAAGGAATACATTTAACCACTATTATTTGTTCAACAGAAACATCAAGAAAATAGATCCACATATTTTTTCATATAAGGTCAGTAAAAAATATTCTACGAGTGAATTTCACCAACACTAATATTTAATAATCATTTGAACCAATAAGAATACCTTATCGAAATGCAATTTGACGGAAGCTGCCAAAGCTCTCTGAATATCAGTGATTTCTATTGAAATATTGAATAAAATCATGAAAAAGTGATGGTATTATAAACAAGAGCACTTTTTGATTCCATCATGATGCTTTTGTACAGAGAAAATGTCACAACTCTCATGTACTTTGCTATTTCTTATCAATTTACATAGGTGAATCTATCTCTTTAGCCAAAGGGAATGCGACAAATAATAGGACGATCTTCTAGCTATTAATTTTAATAGCATGTTTGGACGTTTGTTTACGCATGACAATCTCGAATTTGTTTAGCTGTACACACTGAGTGTTTACATCTTATCATTATAGTTCTAGGAACTAGTTCGCGAACAAACTACTTTATGTATCAATACCACAGGAACAGAAACAGAGTCAATGCTAGTACCCCTTCAGAAAAAACTCGTGAGTATGTTGCAAAGTAGAAATTTATAATGGCCAGATGATTACGGTGCTCCGAAGTACTTACGAACCGTGTTGAAAAATGTGCAATATACCGGATGTTTCCAAAGCATGGGAAAAAACAATGGGTGATTTAAAGACTTTTTGTCTTTTTCGAATCTTTAAAATTCCACATTGTTTTGTAAATCGGTTTTTCTTGAATGAATTTCGAACCCACTGAATTTTCTACAGAATAGTTCAACAGGGACGGACTATCATCCGGGGTTTCATCCAATGGCCAGTAAGACGTGAATATGAATTAGTAAGAAACCTCAGAATGAATTATAGGAGCTACATTTACTTTTACTGGCTTGTCACCAAGAACTTTTTGACATATCAGACGAAAATGAGCTAGCTAGAGAGTGCCTTTATTTACAATAGGATAGGGTTACAGATTCATAGATAGGTACTGGCCTTGACTAAATTATGTAGAACAAATAATATGTGTTGTAACTCATTTTCTCTTGCACGAACATCCTCCTCTTCTACAGGACTTCATTCTGCAGCCATTCAAACTACAAAACCTCCTGCATTCCCTGCTGCAGGTCCTGGCGGATCCATATCTGAAGAATACGAAGGACATTCTTAAAAAAAGTGTCACTAGTCGTTGAGTGCCATGGGTTGGTTGTGTAGATTAATAGTTCGTTGATTAAATGTTGCAAACTGTCAAAGCTAATCCATGGCTGCTTCAAAAAATTACAGGGTCAAAGAGTTTCTGATTTCTGGTCCATTTAGTGCTAATTATCATCGTGTATTAATTGTACCTTTAATTGGAAAGGCAAGGTGTAGTCTTAGAAAGTCGAAGTAAGAGTAGTTGTGGGATGGATGGTTGGTTCAAACCTGGAAGGGTGTCAGCATGTACGAGCTGCACTAATTAGCTCATTTAACAGTCGCCAGATTGAATAATACACTCAATGGGACTTTAAACTAGTGGCTCGATTCGTACCATTCAAATCCATCCCCAGTTCGTGTTGGCTTTCACTGCAGCACATTATGTCACATTTGATTGGCTTAACATGATACGAAAGGCTCTGATTTGTTCTAATTCATCGGTTTAAAATCACTCACCTATGTCGCATAGCACTGCAGTCCACGGCTTCAGTTTCCATCAACTGCACTGTCACAAGAAGCACCATCAGAGCTGCCACCATGACTTTCGAAGACACCATTATAACAGAGGTTTTGGCTACAACGTGTAGATTGGAATGCTTTACTAACGAGAATTATGTATACTTTGCAACTCAAAGAACAGTTGTCTGTGATTCTGCTTCACCAAAAGCAAGTATCTTATACTAGCTGAGAGGCATTGTTCTCATAGTGGTAGGGAAATTGTAGTTGGATTTCCAGGATTCTTTCTGGTTTTCGAAAGAAATGGTGCGAATAAACACGTGTTATCCGTCATCGCGTGTTACTCAATCCATCATTTTGTATACAGGGAATTATAATATGAATAATTATAGCAATTATTACGGGAAATCCGTCAAAGCCAAAACATGTGTATCAACTCAGAAGTATGTTTTCTTCGTTCGTATTTATTACACTGTTAACATGCCTGCCAAGTTTGTATGTAGAAGACTCCACAAGTTCAAGTTTTGTCATTTGACACTGTAGCTAGGTTATGTATACTGTTTCATAAGGTATACAAGCCATGTGTATCAGGTGAGAAATATGTTTCCTTCGTTCGTAATTATTACCCTGCCAAGATAACCACGAAATATCGATGTAGGACATTATATATATATACAGGGTGACTTCGAAGTTGAGTCACTTATTTTAACAGTGAGTAGATCTGATCAAAAGAAACGTCTTTTTCCTTTAAAATTTTTCTGGTAAAATTAAAGTAACAAAGTTATAGCCCTTTAGAAGTTTGAGTACTGCCCTGTCTCAATAATAATATTATGTGCTCGTGCTTGGCAACAACGGATATAATCTGCCTTATCGGTTCATCGCATCGGAAACAAAAAAGCGAAAGAATTTGAAACGTTTATCACGATGTTTTTCGTCAGTCGGTAACGCGTGAGTGAATAGTGGTGTTTGTTACGTGGCTCAAATGAAATCAAAAATGGCACATGTTTACGAAAATGCTGAACTTGTGGATATGATTCTTAGTTACGGGAAGTCTTTACAAAATGCTGCCGCGGCATCACGGATTTATGCGGATCGGTTTCCCAGTCGAGTGCAACCAACCCCTCGTGCCTTTGTTAATGTAGTACAAAGGGCTCGTGAATCAAGTGACTTAAGACCTCACAGGGGAGGGCATGCCGGTGCTCCAAGACCGCACGATCAAGTACAGGTCCGCACTGAAATACTTGTCGGAAGGATACTTTATAAAACAAGGTAACATTTTTTTTTATTTTTACACACATATTTTGGTTTATCTTCCTTCTACAATCATTACCTGAAAATTAATGACTCAACTTCAAAGTATATATGGAGGCAATCGCGTAGGCAGAAGCGTAAGTACCAGGGCATCGTGGCTACCAAAAAGAGCTTACAGAAATACTAATAATCCGAGTTTTGAACTGTCTATGGTTAATAGAACCCGGAAAACCCTTATTCAACAATCTCGATACCCTAGGGATGAAGGAGCGGTCATTTCAGCCAGTTTCGGATGTACGAAGTTCGACACGATTAGAATGGGAGGCCAAAGTCAGGCGGGTATGTCAGGCACATTGCAGGGAGGCATCATGGAGGAGAGCTCTGAGGAGCAAAGCCCGTTGACATAGCGATCAAAGAGAGGTAGATTGACCCATTGGCGTGAAAGGATCTCGAGGTTGTATGTTACAGGAGAGTCATCAATGAGTTGGATAGCCCTCCTCTAAATAGAATCGAGCATGGATAGCACCCCAAACATGTTTGCAGTACTTGAGGCGACATCTTATCTGGGTATTGTGGTGAGGAAGTTATGTGGAGAAAAGTACTTTTTAGCCGCGAACAAAAAAATAGCTTAGTTTTTTCCAAGCAGCTGCCGCTATTGACGAGCTTTGATCGTCCAGATCCAAGTTCTCGGTGATCTGGGCGGCGACCAGCCGAAATTAACGGCACTGGGGTGGAACTCGGCGTTCCATTGAAACCGGATGAGCACTGAGGCGCTTCTTGTTAGTCAAGGTACAGCAGTGTATTTTGAAATGATTAAACTGGCGTAAGTTTTGTCGTTTGACAATGCAGCTAGGTTATGTTTACATTTTTATAATGTATCAATTGATAAAAATAAATTGATCTATAACAAATCATTCTGTTAGTAATGTGCCATTTTTTTATAAATTTGTCTGTGGTTCATCAATTACTCCAAAATTAAAATAATATTTGGGAAAAGCTATTGTTAAAGACCAACGAGACAACTAATTAGTGAGGATATGTAGACCTTCAAGAAAGAGTATTAAAAACTCCAACACTGCTGGTTTAGTTTCGAAAACTATCCACTTTCGGGCCTGCCATCTGAAGTTGTAAACAAATAGAACCTACAACTTGCGAGATAATGAAAGACAGACTTGTAAATAGCGGAAACCCTCAACATTTCTGAACGAATTATTAGACTAATTATAGTTGACCATTTAAATGATTGTTATACGTGGGGTACCCTATGCCTTAACTGACAAAAGCAGAGGATCACAAGAGTAGTTATGTGCGAAAACATAATATCGCAAATTCAGTTATCACAGGCGACTAAAGCTGGCTATATTTCTTAATGTTCCAAGCAAAGCAAAAAGCCTGCTTCCAATTTTCGAAGATAAAGACCAGCTGATTCAAGTGAGAAACCACTGCTAAAAGAATGCAGTGCTGGACCCGGAGATGAACTGATTGAAGCCTGGAAGTCATCTGACCCCCTTGTGAGGTATATAGTTTACTGATTGGTTCCTGCGTGTGTTCCAGTGTATTTACTGAGACGTCAATGATTTTGGGAAGGATTAAGTAGTTTATAGGAATCCATTACCTGGCGGAATCGAAACACATATATTTTTTAATTTCTATTTGATGTACGACGTTTCGGCCACCACGGTGGCTTTTTTCAAGTATAATGGCAGTTACTGAAATATCATATATGGGTTTTCTGTCCTCCAGGTGACAGTTCATTTGTTTCTTCTTTTCGTCGCTCTTATACAGTATGCTGCGGGAATAGAATGGACTGTCTTGTAGCATGCCAAGATCATTATAATTCTGAGATGGCACCTCGCGAAACTAGAAAAGGCCCAGAGCCTCACGGGTTACATTAACTAAACTTTTTGGTTAATTTCTTCACGAAAAGGCTTATCCAATGAACGACATCTTCCTCTCACAGCACAAATGTGTCTTTCGACCTTTCACGTTTTATTAGCTGAAAAACTCACAAATCTTACTTAACCTCAACCTACCACTACACACTGCCTAATATTCTCTTTATCTCACCTTCTAGAAAAATCAAGAGCTCGGCAGACTTCGGGAAACTATCTAGAAATAAAAAAAAAACTAACAGCTGTCTGACAACTAACTGACAAAATACCTAACCTATAATTTGACAATATTTAACAGAACTCAGACGCACTGTACAGGGTATTACAATGCTCTAAATTATACTTAGACATTACGACATGAGTGAGTATTCAATAATTTATACCCTGGATTATCCTAGGATTATTTAGATTTTCGTGATTTTTGGAAGGCTGATTTTTCCAACGATGTCTTTATGGTGACAAAATCTGACGAAGGGGTTCCATTGGCACCAAGGGCATGTGAATCAATCAAAAATACCAGACTTGTTTCCCTATAGAGTTGCATCGAGCTACTGACCGAATTCTTAAAACTTTTCTAAAAAAAAAGGAACCTAGCAGATCATTAGTTATAATCGTGTCAATATAGATATATGGCAATCTTCGTATATCGCTTAAAGATATGTTTGTCCCGTATCTTCCAAACAAATATCAAGAACAAACAATGCAGTTTTTCCAAGGTCATAAAAGAAAAAATGTGCTTCCTCCTTTTCATATACAAAACTGTTATTACATATTTACGTGTATCCTGGAAAATATGCATGGAATGATCTAATGATGCAAAGCAGCGGTTGTTACAACTAATTGCACAGTGTTGACTAATAAAATAATTACATTATGGTCAATAGAGACCACTTGTTTTCATGTCGGAACGTTGCATTTTCAATGAACGCATTATATATGCATTATACGGGTATTTCCCAGGCTCAGGAAAGCAACACTAAACACTATCTATGCAAATTAACATCGAATGGGACATCATGCATGCAATCTTTCTAATTTAATGTCTGCTACTGGGGGATTTGAAAATGTTTGCTCAGTAATTAGATATTGCCATAATGTATTCTAAATAAGAAAACTGTGTAGTCTGCAGTTGAGGGATGAATTTGAATAATATCGAGTTCTTTCCGCATACTTTTTTGGTCTACACCTAAACCTGTATCAATCGAGGTATCGGTTTTTTAAGTATTTTTTGAACGAAACTACTAAATTTTGACAGCTTAGTAACCAATTCCAGCCGTATTTGACGGTATCCGTGGAAAACAATTTCCAGGGACAGACTACCCTAACGAAGTGTTGTTAATATTTAATATAACGTAATATTCTTGAAAAGTTCTTCTCAAAGTCTGCCTAAATCTAGAACTTAATCGCGTGGCCAGATATGCTGCACATCTCAGAGCGGCCCACTAATTTTTCGATCGGGTGAAGTTTGCCAGCCAGAAATGTGATACTTCATTTTGAAGCAATTGTGCATTCCATTTAAAGAAAATTTTCCAGGGTGGTGCACAGTCGACATGTTCAAACATTCAACTTTTACTTTTACGCTTAAATACTCGTATGCATCAATTATGTCATCTAGAATTTGAGCTTACCATCTTGACCAGTTCAAAGATAAGTTTTCCCAATTTTCAGTAGCACTGAAAAATTGGTATCCTAGGTTTTTTCTAGTTGCTAGTTATGGATCTTTTATCACGATGACTATATCTTCAAAGTGGTATAACCAGTACCGTAATAGAAGAAACTGTATAAAAACGAGAGCAGTCCTCTCCAGAACGATCCATTCTATCCATGTCACACAAGAGTATAATTCCTTCAGTTCAAGGTCATTCTTACGCGGTGCAAAGCTTGTTAGCAATATTGCGTGCGGATAGATATTATTTGACACAAACTGATTATTTTACTTGCTTCAAGCTCAGCAAAATGGAGCTGATGTCATAGTTTGTGTGGTTGTATTTTTTGTTTAAATATATACGTTTGATTGTGTTTTGATATTGAACGGTCGTCGGCTGAAACTAGTCTTTGGTTTTTAAAACCATGTGTTTTGAAGAATAAGAGACAAAACCAAAATTATAGGTCAGGAATGTGACAGGGAATATTTCGTTCGTTTAGGTTGGCTAACCTCGCGCGTTTGAATCGAGGAAACAAGACCA